CAACATTTTACTTAGAAGGAACTTCGGCTCACTACTCCCCCAGGTTGATACGTCATACATTCCCACACTCGAGGTAGTCAATAATAAGGATAAGACCCTCACGGTAAAACGACAGGGTAACGATGTCACTTGCAATCCGTCAGCCTCTATCACGCTCGAGGATGGAGACCGTGTTACAGTTATTGCTGGTGTCTTGCTAGAGTAGGCAGCTTGACATCCTCTTATCTTCTTGAAGTCTAACACAGCGTTCAGAGTGCGATGGCAACGAATAGTATGTTTTGTGCCTCCAGTCAGAGGCATGCCCCAGTTTTCTTCTGAAGACTGTGCTTCAATCGGTTTGTATCCCTCCCAAATTTAAGCTGACATGCTGACACCCACGCAGGTATTACCACACTTTCTTCGCCCCACGAACTTCTTACACATCACCTCACATCGAAATACGAAGTGACGACCTCGGTTATGACCTCCCTGCTCTGCGCCGCTCAGCTTGTCAAGCCGGAGTGGTTGCATGAACTCTTGCGACTTGGCACTACTCATACAGAAGATGATTCTTTCGGTTTAACCGTCCTTGAAAAGTCCTTCGTTCCGCCCCTTGAGAGCAAGTACCGTCCCTCATTTGGACCCTCCCTACTTCCTGCACTCAGGAGCTTCAAACACTGGGAGCCAAATGAAGAGAGGTTGAACCTATTGAGGGGTTTCCGCTTCATTTTGCCCGCGGAAGACGGCGAAGTCGATGCAGAACTGAGGGAGCTGGTCGTGAGAGGTGGTGCAGAATATGAAGGATTCAATTTAAAGGCAGGGCTCGCGAAATGGAGGCAGGTCATTGCCAAGGGAAAGAGGAGAGTGGAGGAGCTGAAAGGTGCCGGGAAGGGGCTTGTCATACTGGCGAAGGATAGTGTGATACAGAGAGCTGTTGAAGAGGAGAAGTGGAAAGAAATGGTTGCTGATGCTGAAAGGTCAGTGATATGAAACGCGTGAAAATACTTCGCTGATGAACTTGATTGGCAGCCTGAGCGCCCATGTCGTTCAAATGGAGACTGTTCTCAAGGCTGTCGTTCACGTCGACGCCTCTCGCATAGCTTCTTCCGGAAGCGGTTCACAAGGTTATTCCATCATACTTCTCTTGAAACTTTCTATGATACTAAGATCCATGCAGAGTCGCCAAGCGACTCGTCTCCTCTCCCTTCCTTCGTTCCCAACACACACCCTGACGAGCCATCTTTCCCAGGGGGCTCAGACAAAAAGATCTCCACCGATGAAGCTCAACATGTTGTTTCCTCAGGACACAGGAGGCATGATTCTGTGATCCCTTCGCCTTCGCCTCCTCCTATGGTCGAGCCTCCGCCAACGCAGTCCAGGAGAAGGGTATGTACTCGTGCCTGCACGCGGATAGGACTGTACTGAACAACCACAGCCTCTTGTGCGACGATTGCCTCTAATACTGCCAGTCGAGATAGACGAGGACTCTGCAATGAATGTCGACAAGCCCGAGTCAGGCGCTAATCGAGCCAAACCTGAATCCACGCAAGCTCCTGTATGTCCGCCTTATTTTTCATTGTCATAACCCTAAATCGACCCTTTAGAAACCACCGTCAGGCAGTCGCCTGCCCTTGAAGCGCCGATTAGGATTGCCGACAGCTCCACCTCCCGACATACCCGTGGTGACTATAGACGATGTGGTGGAAGAGGAACCCCCGCACAAGAAGTTTAAGGCTCTGTTTGAGGCGAGCGACCCAGACAAGGTACTCTTCGAGGGCTCGCAGGCTTTTGAGGCAGCCTACGATGCCACCCTAGGTGATAGCGTCACACAGACAGGGCGGTCTACCGGCAACGCACCACCAAAGCGATTACCAGTTGTCGCAGAAGAGGAAGAGAGCTTGAGCGGACCATCACAGCGCGCCAAGTCCGTCGCATTTGATGAAACGCCTCCGGTTGAGGTTGAGGATGCAGGACCGTCGTCCCAGATACCAGCCACCCAACCCAGAGCGAAGTCAAAGGCACCTCCATCCCGCCAACCGTCAAAGGCACCTCCGTCCCGCCAACCGTCCCGCCAACCGTCAGAACCACCTCGGACCACTGCAAAGCCTAAGAAAGCAACTGATGGCGCTATTGATAAGGATGAAGCCTTCCTCACCGCTGTAGCATCAAAGAAGCGCGGGAAGAAATCCGAGGACGAATTTGACCGCGAGTTCAATAAACTGCGGATATCGAAACCGGATCTACAGCGTGAGGATGACCAGCGGCCGTGGGAGGTGCTGGGGGACTTTGATGATATCCCGAACATTAGAGGGAACTTTATGGTCGTTATGGATCTGGAAGTTTTCAAGGACTCGAACGGCCGTCGCGAGGTGGCTACGAATGACATCCGTGACGCTGCTATCATGAAACGACCGAATTTCAAGAAATTTAAAAAGGTATGCGACAAATGTGTTGTTCCTCCGCAATATTGTTGACGCGGGTCAGAAAATCAATGGCTTTTCTCGTGCACCAGTCGAACTCGTGGTTGAAGAGGAGAATGACTACGGTATAGGTGCAGGTAATGGCTTGCAATTGTTCTTTCGAAGAGCTGGCTCATAGTTTCACAGGTTATTGGAAAGACACCGTTCCAGCCAAAGATTACACCAGGGACTCGCAGGCCAACGATAATGGAAAACAACGAAGCAGAGACAAACGTCGTGCGCTGGCTGCCACGGAGTCTGACGAGGAGGGCATTGAGTCACAAACTCTCGACTCCGTCAAGCAGCACGTTCGCAAGAGGGCGCGTACCAAGGACACAAAGGCAAAGAAGTTGTTCATGACTTCTGATGATGACGACGACGCAGACCTTGCTATTGAGTCCTCCCAGGAAGCACTTCCGGCACCCTCTACACCTGCTGCCCGTGCTCGAGCCAGTAAACGCAGGCGCGTGGTTGTTGACGATGATTCTGACGATGGTGTCACTTTTAAGGGTTTCGGCAAGAAAAGAGGAGTGAAATAGTACTCGTAGCTCACACAAGTAGTGTCCAAGACAGCCTACCCAAACGAACAAAGCTCGTAGATATATATACACACAAGATCAGTCTATCGTAATTCATCATGAATGGAGAATCCAAGCAAGCGCTGCGTCTTGGCTGCTTTTCTTCCTCCGGTTTGCCTGTGGCCGAGTGTTAGATGAGCGATGAAGAGATGAAGAAAGTATTTACCTTTGTTCCTGACACACGAAGCTCTCTGGAGCACCGTCCCAGTCCTCTAACACATATTTTGTGGCATTAACCTGAGCTTCGTCATCATCCCCCGTACCGAACAGATCCAGCGCAAGCTGGGTATGGCTCACGCCAGCATAGGTCGTTACACAGCGGGGATTTACTAGAATCCGCGCGGGAGTGTACGCGGAATTTGGCACAGACAGGGGCCCTGTAGGGAGCGCGTCGATGGGGACGTCCGAGTCCGAGTCCGGCATAGCATCATAATCAGAGCCAGCGTTCACGTCTGCATCCAACTCTTCATCAGGGAGTTGCCTACGTGAGATTGTCTGGCGTTCTGGCGTGGGCACAAGCTCGTCATCGTGGAAGTCATTCATCGCTTTGCTGACCCACAGATCTCTGCAGAACCAGGCCTGGCTGCTGTCCAAGCATGCCGCGTCAGGTGCGCGTAGGGGGACGCTTTCTGAGGAGGAGGTCGCATTGTGGAAGTCGTTGCCACAGCGGTATTTGATCCCTTTGTAGTAAGACTGAGCTGGATCGACGATGTGGGTACCTGCTTCGCAGCAGAAGACTTGGAAGGGAAGGTGTTGAATGTATCGCGCAGCACCGTTCTCATCTCGAGGAGGGACTGCGTCTGGTTTCGATGAGGATGTGGATTGTCTGAACTGGTCGCCGTGGATGTCTCGCGTCCGCCACCTCGAGAAAGTATCTTAGAGGATGTCGTAGAGAAAAGGATGGAGAACCCACCTATCAGAAAATATAAACTGCCCGCTAGATTCTGCCCAGTCCATTCCACAGACCATGGCAGCCTCGTTGGCAATACTGACGCGCAGTGTTTCGAGAATGTCATTTGGACATGTGAATCCCTTGAGCCAAATGACCCTATAAAACTCAATGTTGCGCTTCTGGTGGAGCTCAAGAAGAGGCTCTAGTGCGAGGTTGCGCATGTAGGCCTCTTCCATGGGATAATAGGCAGCAGCTGCGTCTTCTGTCATCCCTGGAACGCGTCGGATTCGGAATGAGACACCCAAAAGGGTCAATACGGCTTCACAGAGGTCGGTAAGTGTCGTAGTAGAATCTGTGGAGTCATAGTCCAACATGGACACGAAGATATTGGAAGTACCGAGACGCTTAGCAAGCTGGACGATGACGGCCAGTTGATCGACTAGGAAGTGGTCTGCTGAGTGAATCACCATTGATACGAAATACAGCTGGTCGTCCTTGGCGAGGTCATCATACGCATCTTCGTCGACATTCTTGTTTTGTCCGAACGGACGAGCTAGTGTCGGACAATAGGCTGCCACCCACCCATTAAGAGATAACAGGCTCTCAACAGCAGTCAAGACGTTCTGAAGGTCTGTGTGGGCAGTGTCCTTTCCTGTTATTCTAGTAGGGAATCGTCGCATCAGATAATAATGGAGAATTGGAGAATAACTGACAAGGGCATTTGAAAACGATTCCAGTAATCTGCCACCCCGTTGGTTATGATGTCATCAAAAATGTCCTTCCTGAAGTCTCTGCCCATCCTTGACTGCAGGAATTTGTACTTTCGGACATTGAGAATCTTGTCGACGCCGGTAACACGCTCAAAGACATTGTAGGATTCGAAGGTTGATGGGTCCAACGAGGCTGATGAGGAGCGGGGGATAAGTATGAGTTTGGCACCGAGAATGACAGCGAGAGCGAAGAACACCCTTGTTAGAAGACGCCTTGGAACCATCAGGACACTGGCCCGGTGAAAGGTTCGATGCAAGTACTGTCTAAAAAGTTACCAGTACTTGATGTCTTCAATAACCGCCAATGTCACCGGATACTCAACCGACCTTAGCTCAGTTGGAAGAGCGCGAGACTGTAATTGGTTATTTGTCATCTTGAGGTCGCCTGTTCGAGCCAGGCAGGTCGGATTCTTTTTCCATCGTGTGCGGACTTGGAGCGAACCATGTGTGGTATGCTCAAATGCAAACCATTTATGAATACTTTGAACAAAGCGCAAAGACTGAGTGGTGCTTAATTCAATGCAAGTAGGTAACTAGTGATGTGGAGATACAAGTAATGATGAGGGGTGTAATGGCGTGCAACAAAGCAAGAGCTAATAAATGAGCATAAAATGAGGTCTTGATAGAAAGGCGGATAATAATACTTTTCCCCGCGCGTCCCAACGTCACAGGTGAGGTCCAACGTCAAGAGGTCTATAGCTCGACGTCAGCTTAACCTCTTAAAACCCGCCCATTCCCATTCCACCCATTCCGCCCATACCTCCCATGCCTCCACCCATCCCGCCAGCAGGTTTCTCTTCCTCGCCATCCACAATGCAACACTCGCTCGTCGTCAGCAAGCTCGCAACACCCGAGGCATCCACAAGCGCCGTCCGCACGACCTTCAATGGGTCGACGATACCCCGCGCGATCATATCGGTATACTCGCCCTTTGACGCGTCGTAGCCGTATGCGAATGACGTGTTGGGCGAGTTGACAAGGGTGCCGACGATGACGCTTGCCTCCTCTCCCGCGTTGGATAAGATCGTGCGTGCGGGTTGCATGAGTGCGCGCCGGATGATGCTCACGCCGAGACCTTGATCGAAGTTGGCAGTGGGAATCACGTCAGGGTCCGAGGAATTGGATTCGCCGGGGGCGGCAGTCTTGAGCGAAAGACTAGCCTTGAGCAGTGCGACACCACCACCTGGGAGGATACCCTCTTCAACAGCTGCGCGTGTTGCGTTCAGTGCATCGTCATACCGGTCCTTCTTCTCCCCAACTTCAACCTCGGATGAGCCACCGACCTTGATAACCGCAACACCTCCCGAGAGCTTGGCAAGCCGCTCCTGGAGCTTCGTCTTGTCGAACTCAGAGGTAGTGGCATCATTCAGGAGTGCGCGGATCTGCTCGCACCGTGCGGAAATAGCGTCCTTGGTGCCCGAACCATTGAGGATAATGGTGTCCTCCTTCGTGATGGTAATACTACCGGTACTGCCCAGGAGGTCAGCTGTTGCGCGCTCAAGCTTGATATCCAGCTCATCGGTGAAGACTGTGCCGCCGGTGAGGATGGCGAGGTCACCAAGGATGCTCTTGCGGTTGTCGCCAAAGCCGGGTGCTTTCACGGCTGCAACCTGGAGCTGACCACGGAGCTTGTTAAGGATACATGCTGCGAGGGCTTCGCCATCTATATCCTCTGCAATAATGACCAAGGGTCTGCGGGCAGAGGCAGCCGTCTCCAGGGATGGAAGGATATCCTGCAAGAGAGAGATCTTCTTCTCGGAGAGGAGAATGTAGGGCTTTTCGAACTCGACTTTTTGAGTCTTGACGTCGGTGATGAAATACGGCGAGATGTAACCGCGGTCGAAGCGCATGCCCTCTGTCACCTCGATTTCATCCTCAATTGTTCGTCCTTCCTTCACGGTGATCACACCCTCTTTCCCTACTCTCTCCATCGCCTGCGCAATTAACCCGCCGACATGCTCGTCACCATTAGCAGATATGGTGGCTACCTGGGCTATTTCAGCAGTGGTGGTGATGGTCTTGGTGTTCGCTTCGAGGAACTGAACAACCTTTTGGACGGCAGCTTGGGCGCCGCGACGGAGGTCCATAGGATTGCATCCTGCAGCAACATTTTTTACGCCCTCGGCGTAGATGGCCCGAGCCAAAACGGTTGCAGTAGTGGTACCATCACCAGCGATTTCGTTGGTTTTTTGGGCAACATCCTGAACGAGACTGGTTGGGGAGAGCGTAAGGAATGGAACTCATATTGGTAGCGGGAGAAATGAGCTTACCGAGCACCGAGATTCTCGAATTTGTCCTTGAGAGTAATGCTTTTGGCCACGGTCACACCATCTAATGATGATTGAAGTGAGAACGATACTAGAGGAAGAATCAGCACCCACCCTTGGTAATCTTGGGCCCACCAAAGCTCTGCTCAATGATGACGTTGCGGCCTTTGAGAAATAGCGAAATTTTAGTCCATGTTCAATTTTAACACGATATAGGATTAACTAACCCTTTGGACCGAGGGTGACGCTGACAGCATTGGCAAGGACATCGACACCCTTGAGGATGCTAGCACGGCCGTCGTTGCTGAATTTAATATCCTTGTGTGCACCGCGAGCAAGAGTAGGCTTTGCATTGGCGGCGGCACGGCGGAGGGCACGGGAGGATGTGTGCATAGCTACTTCAACAACAACAGCAAGGAACTAAAACAAGAGGAACAGGAAAAAGGACGAGGACGAAGAGAAAACAGTTCACAAGAAAACTCGCAATAAAAATGTTCGGATCTGGGAAAAATCTAGAACAGCGTCACACATTTGCTAACTTACGTGAAAGCGTCACACTTGTTGTGACATTCGTAGTCCCTCGCTTTACCACGAAAATCATAGATCATGCACCGTAATACATTCACGAGGTACATTAAGACGACACGCATTACCTCGGTATTACCTCCCTTAACTTCTTCAATACTCGTTCATGTAATGCCCTCGCCATAACACTCACAACAGCGCTATCACACACCACCCCGACGTCGATGCGAGCGACCCTTGCATGCTCGTCCTTCATACGTACAGACTTTATGGCATCGTTCACAAGGATCTTGAAGTCTGGAATTGGTAGCAGACTGAGAAGCTCGGGAGACGACAACGAGGAAGAAGAAGTGGATGAACTTGTGCCGAAAGGAGAGTGTGACGCATCTAGAATAGCAATTCGTTTTCCCGTCATTAACCGGAAGTCAAGAGCATGCCTACCATGTCATATCATGTTCAGTGAAGTGTGCTGAATAAAAGGTGAAGTACAGTACCTGAGATCGCCATATAGCACCCTCCACCAGCCCAAGCCCTTCACATACGTCGCTATCGATGGTTCGGAAGCACCCTTGATAGCTGTATGCGACCTACCTCTACCATGTCCTGGAGACTGCTTGGCATCATGGGAACTCGCTCTCATGTTCTCAAGCTCCACCGCAATAGGAAGGGTATTTCGAAGAAGTTCAACAAGGCGGCCTAGTGAGGATGCAAGTGGTCCGTGGCGGAGAACATGGCGGAGGTATGGCTCAGCTTGTTCATGGGGATTGGTCCGTAGCTGGTGACTTGGGAAGAAATGTTGAGGCGGAGCGAGAGAAGAAGGTTGTAGGAGTGTCGGTGACGGTGTGCAGCGCGAAAAGCGTAGTTCGAAGGACCCACCCGTGGGCGATAGCTGGTCCGTACAAGTAATTAATACAGTGTAATCCTGCAGAAAGTGACGTGAGACATCATTTGATAAAATAGACGGTGACCACTCACTGAGGCGTATGCAAACTCCACAGTCTGCAAGTCAAATGATAATAGTCTCACATCCCGCCATTTCTTCTCTTTCGCCATACGTGCGACTGTATCATGTAAGCATCAATAACACTTCACAGAGCACAGCGCACCTTCCCGAGCAATGACGACCATCTTAGAAACACGGGCCCATTCTTCCAGAAACTCGTCCACACAGGTGTCGACTTCTTCAGACAAAAAAGAGACCACTGCCTCTGCTGCATCGTAGATGATCCTTTTCGACGGACGAATGATATTCTTGCTACTAACCCCTGCCGCAGCACGTTTCCCAACTGGCTGTTGTACATACTTCAACTTAACGCAGGTTACTACCTGCGCCTTCTTGTCCGACCACCAATTTAGAGGTATGACCCGGATGTTGGGCATGGCCGCCTCGGCTGCCGGGGCACCGGACAGGATGTCTGAGGACTGAACACAAAGCGCCGGTACTGAACGGGCAAGGGATGATTGAATGTGCCCAAGCTCGGATATCTGTGGAAGGGTGATCGTGGGGTTAACATGGGCGTAGGGAATACCGCGAAGCTTAAACTGGCGTTCGACTCGGGTATATGCAACGCGTGCACTGGAGTAAACATTCAGAATTAAAAGATAAAAGAATGAAATGACCTTTCATACCAGCAATATGCATATAGTTCACGAAGCACTTGCGTCTCCAAGTTGAAACTGGTATTTACTTTTTAGCGAACAAAGATTCAAAAAATGCTGAAGAAAATCTTACCTGTCTTCGCTTCTTCGTAAATCCGGAGGAATGCCATCACGTTTTCTCTTCTGCCCCACCCGTGCATCAAGGGACAATGATGACACCACAACTTCATCCATGACAGTACCAGCGTTCCTATCACCTCGTATGCGTCTCACCTCAAGCCAGCCGATATCTTCCATGATCATGTTGCCGAACATCGTGTCCGAGAGCATCTTCGTCGATATAAGCGCATACCTGAACTCCTCATCTGTCAGGACGAGTACGAGGTAGTGCGTGGGGAAGTTGGCGAGCTGGATATACATCATGCCGCGCGCTGCAGGTCCAAGTTTTTGAAGCTCTGAGACAGGGGTGAGACAGCACAATAACTATAAGTTGATAGTGCCAACCTTCTTTGGCAAAGTTTCGATGTCGGAACACTTGGAAGCCGAGGTAGTTGGCTTTTTGTTCCACGATATCCGTAATTGTCTGCCAATACAATGAGGGATATAATTGGTGCAAAAATAAGACAACGCGCACGTTATATCGTAGCCTGATGAGGGCATCGAAAAGCATGCTGGGGGCTTCGTTGAGTTTGTCTGAGATGGCAGAAAATCGTGGTCCTCGGCCGGCTGCTGCTAGGTCACCGGTATCTCGTAGATTTAGCCGACCGGCTCTGGTGTCAATAGAGACGATTGCGATTTCATCGGCACACAGATGCACGCGAAGAGAATGATAACTTCCTTGGATAACTTTAATAGGGGCTTAGACTCATGAATTCCCGTACCCACTTTCAGAAATTAGAACCACTTTGCCTTCAGGGGAGAACACCCGAATAGGACCCCGTTGTAATTGGACCTGGTAGAATTTCAGGATTGCTTTTGTGTGCACTTCGATCACCTTTCTCAACATCGACTCAAAGT